TTCGCCGTTACTAATGTGAACGCTAACAGCATGAAAAATTGTCCAAGTTATTATTTCGTAAGCGAACATTGTGACGTTCGATGTTGGTTCACGCCGTGTGTAGGCTTCGTAGCGGAGGTCGGATGGCGCTTCGCACGGCTCTCGGCTCGTGCCCAGAGGCGAGCAATATTGCGGCTTCGCACGGATTACTTTGCAAAGTGTTGCTCGGAAGCCGATTTGTATTTATTATGTAACGGAAAGTGTTAAATATTATGCATTTATTAAAAAGAAAAACGCATTAATAATTTCTTTAAAAGTTAGTTTTATTACTGTTGATTGTTATGAATTAACTAGATTTCAGCCGCGACTCGGTTCTCCTAGGATTAAAAAAAAAAACAAAAGCATGTAGCCTATGTTTTCTTCCAGACCATGCTCTACATCTAAGTCTTTCACCGAGATGCCTTCAGTATTTGAGGCGGCAAAATCTAACAAACATCCATTCATCTTAACTTTCGCATTTGTAATATTATTAAGATTATTGAATTAACATGTTCTAACATCGTTATTTCTGAATTAACATGGATTAGAGTTTGTGGCCTAAACGGCTGAATGGATCTTGATGAAATTGGGCACAGACATAGAAGATAGTCTGGAAGAACACATAGGTATAACTTATTTTTTAACTCCACGCAGACGGAGTTGCGGGCGAAAGCGAGTGTTGTACAAATCCATGCTTATAACATGTCACTTGCATAAAGATTTTATTAATGTAGGTCTCGTTGACATCAAGCACCAAGAAGGCTACAAGAAAAGTATCATAATGTACCCAGTATGGATTCAACTTGGAATCAAATCGACACATGCCTATCGATTCACAGCATTATTAAAGAGGACTTGACTTTAACATGATAATGAAGACATTTAATTTGTAGCGTCGTTTCACACGCTGTCGTCAGTTGTTTCGTTTTTAGTATTTAATGTTAATAACATATTACGGCTTACGACATTAATTACCTGTTCCGATAACTGTCAACCTACTACAATGGAACGAAAGATGGACTTAAACGTTCATGTGGTCGATGATTTCGAAGAGACAGAAACATTCTATGTGAAATTTAGCAGGTTGTAAAGATTTTGTATTGCAAGCTGTAAAATAATTGAAATATCTAATAAATTAGACGTACATGGTGATTTCTGTAAATTTGTCAATGCTAGTTGTTGCTCGCGACTTCGCGTGAAATTATCGATAATAAATACAACCTATTTTATTCACGGTGAAACTACCTTTCTAATCGTGAAAGAACCTACCCCCCTCCCTTTGGAGAATCAACAAATGCAAAATAAATGTTAAAACATGGCGATTGTATATTGCCTCGCAAAACCTGAAATTATAATTAACCGCATAATTAACGTTTTATATTTCACACTTCTTTACTAAAAAAAACATTCTGATCCAATTTATTTCTTTTTAAAGTTAGTTAAAATTCAGTTACGACTGTAAATTTTATTCAACAGATCTATGACAGCCGAATACTTAGAGCGGACGCACTAGGTAAGACTAAAAAGTCGTGCGATAGTTTGGTCAAATGTGTGCGCGCGCTCTAAGTATACAGCTGTCAGATCTGTTGCACGTCTTCTAATAATTAATAATTAATAATTAATAAAATAATGACCGATAGAGGGATTTAGACACATTTCCAAAATTGTTAGAATAAGGAAATAAAACAAACATATAAAACATATTTTTTTAATGTTTTATTTTTGCATTTCAAATCTACTGGGTATTTAATTCGAGGTTCTTACAATAAGAATAAGTTTGTGATACATTTTGTAAATAGTCACATATTTTATATATTTCATATTAAATCCATAATATTCATATTAAATCCATTTATTTTTTCATTCTCATTCAACTTCAGCTACAGAATTGTCGCGGAATCTAATTGTATAAAATATTAATTGTTTCTTCAATTTTAGAAAACCTAAAAGTATAACAATCTTAATTTATTAAACACAACCTAAAAACGACGGAACAAGGAACGTGGAGAAATAATGAGATTTTGAAAAAAACAGATTTCAATTCACTAAAATAATAACAAAACTTTAAAAATAAATTGTTGATAAAAACATATGCCAAAGAAAAATACAGTCCCAAATCAAAATAATAGAATAATTAGAATTCAAATTCGAAATATAAAAAGTAATAAAAAAGAAAAACGCCAATAACATCTACTTTGTTACTGAACATAAAAAAGGTTTTCATATTTGTAACTTGCCAGTTATAATTTTTTTTTATTTTTCGGGGTTTTGTGTGCAATTTTTTTTTTAATTTTTACATCGACAATTCTGCAACATTAAGTACTAACACTTATATAATTCACTAAGAAACATTATGCAAAACATAGGAAACACATAGGAATAAGGATGTGCTGTTTTAGCACATCGTAATGATTTAAACAGATTATAAAAAAATACATAGTACAAGTGCGTATATGTGCGTAAAGGGTTGCTATATTTTTAATGGAAAATATTTTGAATCTTAAAGACTACCTTTAACTTACAAGAACTTAAATAACTAAAGAAATTTTGTAAATAAATTCACTTAAATTCGAAACAACTACAATTTGTTGAAAATTTAAAAATTAAAATAACATTTTTTTTTTCATTATTTTTCGGATGTGCAAAAAAATTACAAACTCCTTACAAACATATGATAGGTTTGTTTTGTGAAAACATTTTTTTAATGTTAATAATGATACTTCGAATGTTTTAAACACTTGATTTTTTGTTTATTTACATTCAAGTAGCTGCCATATATTAGTTTACAGTTCAGTAGGTAAATATTTTTAACAACATTTCAAAATAAATGATAATAATGAAATAATTGAAAATTAGTGGTGGAAATAGACATTTTAGGATTTTTTCTTTGTTTCTTAAATATTACTTTTGTTTCGATGTATATAAAATAGATTTTATTTAGACTTTTTCAGATATATTCTTTTTAAAATTACAATTCCTTCTGTAAATAGAGTAAAATAGTTAAGATTTTTTTTTAATTACCAATAAATTTTCATATAACATTTTTATTACATTCGAAGGACTTCATTTAAATAAGTAATTAATCATTTTTTTTATTAAAATTCGAAGTAAACTAGTAAGAACCTCTTAGATAATAGGAATATTCAATTATTCTAAAGGTATATATTTATATTTAAAAAGAAATTTACTCTTTTAGAGGATTGTTCCACACAAAAATCTTTAAAGCAAGAAATAGTCAAAAAATAGTCTATAAAAATGGAATGTTTAAGATTTCAAAGTACTATTAATAATTTATAAATATAATAAAAGAATTTGTATGTAGATTATTCCAACTAAAAATATATAAATGCGATTTTTTTTTTATCAGCCTTTGTATTGTTTGTGAAATTCAAATAACGAAACACTTGTCTTAAAACATTGCTATCTCTATCGTTTTGAAAGAGAATAATAAAGACAGTATGAGTACTTCGATATTTGAAGCCCTTATTAATAGCAATAGCACACTTGTATAAGAATATATGACCACTATTTAGTGCAAATTAAACAGATCCAAAATAACCTTAATTTCAAACATTTTGAAGGCTCCTACGTAAACTACATGTATACTTAAAATGTAAATTTTGCAAGATAAAACTTTAACACCAAATTCTACGGAGTTTTTTTTTTATAGCAAAACCATTTTTTTTAGTAGTTATACATCCTTACAAATAAACTCGTTATAAAGTTAAACCTAGGTATAAATAATACTCAGTTTTAATTTGTATTACAAATTTTGTTTATACTTAGTTTATTCCTAAGTTTAGCTTTATGACGCGTTTATTTGTAAGGCTGATATTTTAGGACATGAAATAAACTTGTTCAGTAGATTTTTAACCAAATACTGTCGAATTAAGGGTAAAATAAAACATTAATAATTAAAACGAATAAAGCATAATCATACTAGTCTTCTATCTTCTTTCAAATGTTACATTTTAAATGTAAACAGAAACCAGTATTAAGGAATTTAAGAACTAATTAAAAAAAAAACAAAGTGCAAAATTTTTAAATTGTGAGTTACAACAATCTACGTAGGAGCTATCGATTTAGCAGTATTTTAATAACACTATTAGTTAGTAAATTTACTTTTAAAATTAATAAAATTTAAGCCGTATATTTGTAAAAAATTTAAAATATAAAATCATATTATATATAAAATAATATATTAACTATAAGTATCACGGATATTTTAGTCATTGTAAGAACGAGACAGTCATGTGTGAGCGAGATGGAATGATTTTTGTTAACTTCAGACTTGAGAACCGTGATTAGAAATATAATTCATGTTTTAAAACAATTTTTGGAATGGAAACTTCGCAAAACAACCAAATAATACTGCTAACACAATTATATCGTCATTTAGAACTCTTAAAGCTATAAAAAACATATAAATATAGTGGAATTCAATAGAAACGAGAAATTAAAAAAACCTTAACGTAATTAATGGTGCAAACCTGTCTGTTTTTTAATAAATCTGTGGATGCCTTATAAAATAGTTTAGATAGGTTTAATAATTTTCATTTCTATTGAATTCGATTATATACTTTATTCCTATAGATATATGGTATTTATTTACACAGATCGGAGTCCAGTTGAGTTTGCCAAGTCGTATACATATTTAAAACTTATTTCTTAGACATAATACTATGATAAAAACCTGATTCGAAAATATTTTCTTGTCATATATAGTTTATTTGAGATTTAGATAAAATATTGATTGGATATTTTGTATTTATTATGTCTAGTTTGTATCATTTTCAATGATTTTTTATATATATTTGGTTTAAAGTCAAATTATACTTGTTTTGTTAGTAATAATTCCTTAGTTATGGTATAGTTAAGACATTATTGACTAGAAATTTTGTTTAAAATGGCGATTTGAATAAAAAATAAGTTTTTTTGTTAGTTTTAGTTAAAAGAAAGATTTTTTTGAGATAAAAATAATATTGAATCGAAAAATTTATGCTATAAATGTATTGTTTTACAATATTTTTTACATAGTTTTATTGCACAGAGAAATTTTGGCACAAAAGTATATCAGATCAAATTTTCGAGGTTCTCGTGAAGTTTTTGTAAAAAAATAATTTACAATAACCAAAAGAATACACTGAATATTAACAAAATAATATTTTCAATGACAGTAACAAATTTTCACATTTACGGGACTAATTTATCAGATCATAAACGAGATAAAAATTCCAAATTCATAATAGATTTAAAAGTAAATTGTGAATATGTGAATAGAATGACGTCATCATATAGAGCACAAAAAAGTAAAAACGCGTAATACGAGCTCAAGTTTTAATTACCGCATAGTATCTTATATATTGAAGGTACAGTGCTAAAGTATACCTTATTACTAACGTGTTAGAGTTCAAATTACTTATAGATTGAAAAGTAAATTTAGAAATACGGAATTGAATGACGTCATCATACAGATCAGAAAAAAGTAGATACGCGTCATAGAACATTAATATTTTAGTTGTTGAATACGGATTAAGGGTTACATACAATACTAAAATATACCTTATTCCTAATGTATTAGAGTTGAGATAAGTTATTTTAGAGTTGGCTGGCGTCGCGGTCCGGGATGAGGTTGAACCCCTCGGGCGCGTTCTCCCAGTAGTAGTAGGGGGGGCCGTTGGTGAAGCAGTACTTCCTCTGCAGCGGCGCCTCCCCCTCCACCCAGTACATCAGGTAGAAGTTGCACATCTCGTCTTTGTTTGTTGGACTGGAATATAAAAATTGACTAAGTATAGAAGTTAAATTAAAAACTTAAGAGGGACCTCCTCACTTTGTCTAGTCAATATATTTCTTAAATGTCCTTGTGTAAAGAATGTCGAAAAATTGCATAGTACATGATGGGATTTGAACCCAGGACCTGTATAACAAGTGAAGTGCTGATACCGCTGAGCCACCGAGGCTTTAATACTGTATTGCGAACTAGCTGTTCCCATGCGACTTCATACGCATACAATTATAAAAAAAATCATTTTATTATTCACATTTATCAAATTATCAATAGCAAATGTCAAAAAAACATGACATGACAAAACTTGGCAATCTTGTTTCCTTGATGTAGGCAGCAACTTATGGTCTCTTTCCCACATTAGGGTTTTTATCCAAAATATTTATTCCTGAGTTTAACGGCGTGCAAATATATAGCCTAAAGTGTGAAAGTGTAGGGCTTTTCATTAAAAAAAGGATTATTCGAAAATGTGCTGCGATTGCTGACATCTTAGGCAACAAAGAAGTGTGTTTACGCTTTATTATATTAGTATAGATAGTATAGATAAAATTACCCTATCTTGACGGGGTAGGCGTGCGTGTTGTTCATGGTGCAGCGCGCGGCCAGCACGTCCCCGCGGCGCAGCGGCGCGCTGTCCGCCACCGGGTAGAACATCTGCGGCAGTTGCGGGTCCTTCTTGCCCAGCAGCCGCCACTGGTCGCCGCGCGCGGACCGCACCACCGCGTACCCCGACACCACGCGACCTGCAACACAGTCATTCATTAATTAACTAAAAAAATATAAAAAAATAATAAAAAAAAATAAAAAAAATATTTTTTAAGATTTTTTTTTTATTTCAATAGATATTAAAATATCGGAATAAGTTTGACAAATTAAAATAAATGCGAGAATTCTAAGCTTTTTAAGTTTTATCAAATTTAATAGAAAAAAAAATTATGTCTTCTATTACTGTCTTATTGTCAACAACTCCGCATCATGGAATTAAAAAAAGGAGTAAAGTAAGCACCCTATGTTTGTTTCCATATTATCCTCTACATTTATGTCAAATTTCATCGAGATCCGTTTAGTCGTTTAGGTTACAAACTCTAACAAACATCCATCCATCTAAACTTTTACATATATAATATTACTAGCTTTGCCCGCGACTTCGTCCGCGTGGTATTAAAAAAACCAAAACCCAGTATCCTATATGTTATTCCGGACTATCCTCTACGTCTATGCCAAATTTCGCCAATCCATTCAGCAGTTTAGGCTACAAACTCTAACATCCATACATGTAAACTTTTGAATTTACAATATTAGTATGATGGAGAATAAGATTAAAATACGTATTATAGTTACCCAGAGAGTGCGTGTGCGTGCGGAAGGCGAAGGGGTGTATGACCTTGTCCTCGGTGATGGCGCAGGCCGTCTCCATGTGCTCCTCGCGGCGCGGCAGCAGGTAGCCGCCCGTGCCCAGCAGCAGCACGCCCGCCTGCCGCCGCAGCCTGCCACCACACGAAAATGTACCCTACTACCTGTTGCTAGCGAATTGTCCGCGTCAAATAAAAAAATGGTAAAAATACAGCATATGTTACTCAGTGGTACATCCTTTCTCATAAGAAAAAGGATAGGAAGGAAAAGGGACCAAAGTTGGGCCTCCGGCACCACACTCATTAGACGAAACGTGGAATTGCTCCCACTTCACACCTGTCTTGTGTGGTCGTAGTATTGCGTATGACGAGCCGGTCCATTCGTGCGATGTTAAAGCGGACTCTACCACTGTTATATACATACATAGAATATATAGGCTACTTTTTTTTTTCGCGCGAACGAAGTCGCGCACCGAAGTTAGTTATTTTATCATGTTCAATTAATTTTGATTTAATACATACCGCTCTTTGGTGTATTTAAGATACACTCCCGAATTGTCAGTCTTGCCCTCTGGAAATATACAAAATACATATAAGTTACATTGTTTAAAAATTGAACAATCGTTTGAAAAATTCTCTCTTTCATACACACATACACACACTCTCTCTCTTTCTCTCTATCTCGAAGTGCTTCTCCATTAATCGAGGTTGGCTAGCTCAGCGAACTTTTGCCTGTCTTGTATCAAACTAAATAGTTGTCTACGCTGGAAATATGCTAAAATATTATATCAAATCAAGGAATGAAACCCCTGAGTCAGTTCCATATTCTATTCACTAAGTTAGAGTATTTTTTACAAAGGAAATATTAAATTATTGTATAAAATCATATATTTTTATTTCAACAAACTCATTTTATAGCGTGAAATTACAAAATTGGAAGGAAATTAACCGCCATTTTTATAAAATGGATTCCGTATTCGTAATCACATTTTAAACAAGGTTGTAACTGAACGAGTTTTGTAAATAAAATCATTATCATTCCCGTTATTTTAAAAAAATACATTATATATTATAGAAAGCCGTAATGCATACATTTTTATCTGTTTTGAGTTGAACTCAAACTTATATTAAAGGTATCAATAAACTTTGGCACATACAAACCTGGGAATTTGCTCATATAATGAACTTGTAGCACCATGTATTGAATTGGGGAATCCCCTCCGACCAGGAATCCCACATCAGTAGGTAATTGAAGACTTGGCGCGTCGCGAGCCCACGCATATACTATCTATAAGGTCAATATAAAAGGTTACGTAATCTATACTAATATTTTAAAGGAAACATTTGTATTTTTGTAAGTATTCGATTGACTCTAAAACTACTGGATCGATTTAAAAAAATCTTTCGCCATTAGAAAAGTAATTTATCTGTGAGTAACATAGGCTATACTTTTTATAATATTTTTAATTACACGCGGGCGAAGTCGCCAACAACAGCTAGTCTTAATAATAATTTAAACTAGCTTTCGCCCGTGACTCCGTAGGCGTAGAATTGAAAAAAAAAGCCAATTTGTTCTCCCAGACACTCTATATTTATGTCAAATTTCATCGAAATCTGTTCAGCCGTTTAAGATACAAACTCTAACAAACATCCATCCATATAAACTTTCACATTTATAATATTAGTAAGAAGTAAGATGAGAATATTAGTAGAATCACACCAACGTCATAATTAATGTGTCCAGTGACATATATTTCATTCACATTAACAAAATAAATAATACAAATACAATTACTGCAATGAAATACTACGATTATAGCCAATACAGTACGCGCTTGAGATGGCACGTAATGCAGTAAAGTACTCTATTTCCCGACGTGCCAAAACAAATTCGCGGTGTCCATTTGGATTTTTGTTCTATGGTCAGCTGTTGACGTATCTAATTTGTAAGTAATATTAAAAAACGTTTGTATGAATCCGTAGTTTTTAAGTTTTTAGCAAAACACGATTAATATTTGCACTAGTATTTCAAGTATCTAATATGTTAAAAAAAAAATTGGTGACATATTACCTGAGATCCAGAACTGCAAGGATTAGCTCTCGGGTAAAGGTTATCGTCGTCATTGTTCTGCATTTCGCCGCAGTTCCTAAAATAATATCACACTATCTAAAACAATGAGATCACGGCGTACTATTAACAATACTAACGTCTATTAAATGGAATTTCATATATTAATAATATTAGTAAAAGAACTTGACAGCTCCATATTTTCAAAGTCGAAAAAAAAATTGTACTAGCTGTTGCTCGCGACTTCGCCCGCATGAATTTACAAAATAATTAAAAATATAGCCCATGTTACAGATAATTTATTTTTCAAACGGTGAAAGAATTTTTAACATCGACCCAGTAATTTTTGAGTTATTTCAATGCATACAAAAATACAAATTTCTTTATAATAATAGTATTAGGTTAATTACTATTGCCCACTAGCCATTTGCCGAGTAACTTAGTAAGATAAAATTATCTCTTGTGCCTAACAGTGGTTCTTATTAATATGGCAGTACCTCTGTTTTTCAAAATTAAAATCAACGTTTACTAATTGTTAGTTTTTTTAACTATTTTGATATATTCTTGAAAGTTATTCGTAATCTGTGTTAACAATACTTTTTATCTTAAAATAAAAAAAATATTTCCGTTTAATAAAATAAAATATTAGGAAACGGTAGGAATAGTGGGGGGTAGTTTTATAAAATATATGGCAAGGAGTGGCTCGGGCTCAGTCGCCAACAAGCTCAGTGTTTTACTAGTCGTCACAACGGAACGTTCGATATATTTGCGTTGTCGCATTGGAGTTCAGTTTGTTTGTTTTAAAGTAATGTACAAGTATTGTTAACATGGCCGTCCGTCTATATTTTAAAGGAAGACATTCGTGTCGAAATATATAACATAATGAACTGTACTAAAAAGAGAGGTTCCATTTTGTTTAGTAGTCTAGGAACATCGTTTTCACTACTAGCAGCGCTTCGGGTCGAGAAAAATAATACTAATCTACTTGATTATTTTTTTCTTAGTCAGTACTCGACTAAATTGCTAGCCTGTTCCGAAATATGCCCGTACCATGCTAAGTTTTTACTCCTTGATTTTTCCACCAGTACTTCCATGCTTCATCTTATATATAACTCTTTACGTACATTTATCTAAAATAAAGATAAAATAAACAATTTCAGTACAACTCTACTAAATCTTTTAATTGAAAAACATATTGAAATACAAAGCCTTCAGTACCGGAGATTCTAATTATAGAACTAATCGATCAATAGAGCAGACGTTTGTGAGCAGGAATGAGATACCAGATACTGAAAGCTCGCGTCACGTCGAGAGCTCTATCGATCCGCCGTTTAACCTTCAGACGCGACGCAATTCGCGAGACATATTGCACTATTATTTAGTATAGCTTAAAAGGAAAATAAACAATATTTTACGAATTTTCCGAAAAAAAAAATTATGGAATAGATATTGAAGGAAGGTTTGACGCTAAGCGAGTGGAAAGGTTGGTAATGACCGATTCAGACTGACTTCTTCGTTAAAGCTAGATAATATCTATAAAATGATGTGAGCTAAAAGATTTCTTCCACTACTTGCGGCTCATGACTCCGCGCAGCATTCAAAACTGAATTAATAGCTTAAGCATTCTTATCTTCTACATCAATACCATATTTCAATCTGTTAAGTTGTTATGGAGGCTGCAGATACAAACATCCATCCAGACTTTAGCATTTATAATATTTTTTTTATATATCAGAAGGTGGCAAACGAGCAAGCGGCCACCTGAATTCGTCAAAAAATATTAGCAAATATCAAAAATACAACTTACCAAACAGATCCATTGCCTCCAGGTTGTAAACATCCATACAGCAGCATATGATGAGCAGTATGCATCGAAGCTTTCGGTTGGAACCCAACTGTTGAAAAATCAATAATTGGTATATATCGAAAATAGTATTTAGAATCAAAATAGCCTACGACATTTAGCAACTAGGTAGTTGTTCTGGAAGGTTCCAGTACGTCAAAGTCCGGTAATTTCGAAGATTAAGGGCCTGTCCTACCAAATTGTAAATTGTCTAACAATCCAACTATGATGGAAATATCGGATTTTGTTCGCTTATCTAATAGTGACGTCATTTTTAAGCTATCTGAGCCTCTAACAGCCAGTGGGACAGCCCCTTAAAATAAGAATGTGACTTCAATGACCAAGATTAAAATACGATTTAAACATATTGTATTCATAATGATAGAATGTATTAAACATTCTTCAATAGTATAAACATTGTTCAAACTAAACTAAACACACCGAACAATTTAAAAACAAATTATTCACTTTCGTTCCCCAGATCATTGATTTAAAACAAACAAACAACAAACCTATGTAAAAGTTTGAGCTCGAAATACGTATGGGCGTGCAGAGGTATAGTTCATCCTGAAACAAAATATTTATAAACATTAGACAAATTATTATATAGGATTTCTACGTGTTTGGAATAAAAAAATATCTAGTAATAAATATAGCATATGTACCGCAGTGATAGAGTAGCTTTCTAATGGTAAACAATTGTTTGAAATCAGTTTACACTTGGCTAGTACAGTTGGACAGTTTTTTTTATAACATAAGGTGGCAAACGAACAAGCGGACACTAGAATCCGCCAAAATGGTGAAGCGACCGCTGCCCATAGACATCCGCAATTGCAGATGCGTTGTCTACCCTTTTACGACGGAGGAGACGCACATAAAGAGGATAATTCCCCTTCCTATGCATCTCCTCCACCGTCAAATCCACTTCCCCTTCCCAACCTCTCCTTATAAGAAGAGGATGGTAATGAGAAAGAGACTTAAATTAGGTCTCCGGCACCACACTCATCAGACGAAACACGGAATTGCTTCCATTTCACGCCTGTCTTCTGTGTGGTCGTGGTATTACACCGGGCGTGCGGGCCTATTCGTGCTAAGATGTTAAAGCGGGCACTACCACTGTTTAGTTAGTATTAGTCAGTGTTCATACTGCGCCAGTTGATTGGCAGTCCAGTTGTAGACTATTGACCAACTGTACTCACAAAGTGTGAACAGCAAATACTTTGATTGTGGAAGTTATTTTCAATTGGACTTTATCTACTGTATGTACAGTCGCGGAAACCCGCAGTGTCCACTTTTGGAAAATTTGCCTTGTTCATTGCAATGAGACAAATTCCGCCTCTTCCTACAAATAACTAACTAGATAATAGTGAGTGATGTAAACGGGATAAAAAGAAAAAGAAACTATCCATTTATTACTAACATATGTTTATTCACAGAGACACTTTTATAAGCTCTACTGTACACATGTATTCATTTTTTTTACAGAATTTTAATATATATAGCAAAATAATCAAACAACTATAGTGTTTAAGGCAGAACACTGCCAGTTTCCCCGATTGTACATATATTTACACAACATTAGTATGTATCTTGTGTATCTACCCCTATATGATTATCTTTGCAATGACTTATTGTTAGTTTTATAAAATGGATCATTGTGAAATCCACTTCAGTTGGATAAATATTTTAATCTTCAATTACAAATGTTTGTACATCTTTGTAAAGATGAGAATGTTATTTGAAATGAAAAATAGATTTATTTTTTATTAATTATTTTTCAGATATCTTCAGCTGCATTCTTCAGTGTCCCTTGACATGCCTTTACACTAAAACATTAGACTTCCAACTCCGAACTGGCCTAGAATTACAGATCATTTACAACACTGCCCGGCATCAAGTTCATGAGGGATTGATATTACTGTATTTTTTTCTATGTACACATGTTTTTTAGTGGAAGGTCACAGTAAAAAGAATTCAATTCTCTAAAATAAATAATTTCAAGGCACATTATTTTGATTATAACCATTCATATTATATCAACATTTATGTGAATCATTCAAGTGAATCTATTGTATTAAACAAGGCAATAATGTACCGTGGAATTTTTTAACCAACTCCGATTTAGTTTTATACAACAAAATAATTATTTTTTAATATTTTATTGTTTATATTAGACCTGTACAATAAAGCTAACTTGATGTTATAATCAATAATTGAATACTAAGCCAGCTAAGTTATGAGTTTTTCAGTTCTTAATATGGCATATTGTGTGTAGCAGTGATAGAGCCTGCTTTAACATCTTTCCACAAATGGGTAGGCTCGCCCAGTGCAATACCATAACCACACAGAAAATAGGCATGAAGTGGGAACAATTCCGCATTTTGTCTGATGAGTTATTAACTCGATATTTGAAAATGGTGAATTTTTGGGATCGATATTGTTTACCATTTGTGTTTAACAAATTTACGTAAATTCAAAGACCAGTTTAGATGCACAACAGGTTAAGTGCGCACATGAAAATGAATTTTTCTAAAAAAATCTTACCTTATGAGGCCACACATTTGGCATAAGAAAATCATAGGTGTCCACTTCGTATGCATGCCCATCTGAAGCCACCACCATCCACAACATCACCGAGATGGCGACGATGGAAAAAATCTTCATGATTAGAAGTAATAATATAATGTGTAAATACTAAAACGAGCTCAATAGTGATACGCTTATTATACGTCGCCCTTTTTAATACATTTCAAACACTGTTTGTTATTTTTATTATTAATTTTATGATATGCGAAAGCTAATTAATTACTTCGCAAACCACACTGCACACGCTGAATAAAGAATAATCTAAACTGAGTGCGACAAGTGTTTTTATTATTTTCCGCCTTGAACATTTGATCAATACTTCGAAAAGTTTACTAACGTCATCCTTGGGTTGCAAGTCGCTAGAACGGTTTTCCTATACAGCCGGAACAGTTTGATTTTCGTATTAATTTTTATTTCTTCTTTTCGTATGGTCATTTAAATTTTAATTCATTTAATCTTACTAATGGTTTCGTCCCATAGTTTCGATAATATATAAATGATTTGCTACATGGTAACACGATAGTTTTCTAGAGGAAAAAAATTCACCAAAGAGTTGCTGATATTCCACAATAGATGGCGCATGAATAAATTGTAGGGATGGCATATATTTTAAATTTATTATCGTTTATTATTTGATTTAATTGTTGAGATCTGATTTGTTAAATGCATTGCATTTTGTAATCAATTTATGTAACAAGAACAAGCGTTTCTATTTTTCACTGCGTTGTCTCGAAGGATCTTTCTGTAAGTATCTTTTTAGGTGTTTTGTAAGTTGAAATTGGCTTTAAAGCAAGTGAAACTAAAAAGGTTTTCTAAATTTATATAAATAGTTTAACTTATAAAGCAAATGGAAGTACCCTGTACCAGTAATGCTGTCTGTCAACTTACAAAAATACTACAACGTTCCCCTCTTTGATAAATTCGATTTAGTTTATCAGAATAAATTGGCGCAAAGGTCTAACTTCTGCAACGCCCGCTTCGATACTCCGCGTTGCAGAAATTCAAACATCTTTGAACAAAACTCTTCTTGCTTTGTGTGTGTCAGTAAAAGTTATAAGTAACAGTATTTATTTATAACACTATAAAATCCCGAAGGAAAGAAAATTTAATTAAAAATCAATTTTCAATTTCCTTTGTGTATTTCTCGAGTTCAAAGTCAAGTGAATACAATGAGCGAAGTAGCAATATGTATTTAGGGGTTGATGGGGAACACGTTATATTGCACCCCGGGGTTGTATCACAAATTGACGTTTTATTGACGTGCAATAAATATTTCATTTATTCGAAATCAAGGGGCTAAATTGTTACATACCACGTACTACTATTGATTAGAAATTTTAAAGGTCATTTACGAAACGATTAACTGATTTATGTGCTTTTTTGTATGAAAACACATTCTAGAACCTTTACTCTTAATTCCAGCACAACGAATACATTAACCAGCAGTTTAGGCACTCAGATCTACGGAAGTATTTATAGAAATAAAGAAAACACAAGGAAAATAGGCTAATTGATATAATTTCAAGAGTACTCTCAAGAGGAACTGAGACGAAATCAATTTGAAGAAATCTACGAGGAAGGTAAAATATAGAATCGTATTATTTTTACGGTAGCTACCAATACGAGAATACCCTTATGGATTGATAATAGAATTATAGAATAAATAGATACAGATACGATAATGCGAAATATGGAATTTTCTGAATACTTCTGCATTTCTTCTACGTTGTTTGTAGCTACAAATCCTTGGTAAGTATTTAGTTATTAAAATATCTTCATACTAGCTGTTGCTCGCTACTTCGCCCGCTTGAAATTAAAAAATAATACAAAATATAGCTTATGTTACTCACAAATAAGTTACCTTTTTAATGATGACAGAATTTTTTAAATCAGCCTAGTAGTTTTTTCGTGAAACAAAAATACATACAAAAATTGAAATATTCAAATCTTTCCTCTTTATAATAGTAATTATAAAGATAAAACACATTGCATATGTGGCCTCTAAGGATGATATCGCATAAGTTGATTGGATTTGATTAATATTTAAAATTCATTTGCCTTTGTCTAAATATGTTAAACATTGTCTCTCAGAGTCAACGATTTGTAGCTTTTATACCATATTTCCTTTCGTTATTCTATAATCTTTGACATAATTTGGTTAGGCAAACAAATCACGTGCGAGTATATGTATCGGGTCGTGTGTCAAGGTGCCTGTAACATGCTCACGTAATACTTGGAGATTTACGTGTTAGCTTATTGGGTTTGTAGGTGAAAGGGCATATCGGAATTGTCGCTGTTGGATTCATTTTTATGGGCTATTGTACGTGATGTTTATACAATTTAAATATCGTTTTTATATCTTACGAATGTTTATAAAGATCCTAGTTTATGATGTTCTCTTTTATTTTTTAAAAGTCTTTAAAGTAACTATATAACTTTTTTACGGTATTATTGGATTGTTTCACACAGATATTGAGCAAGGGTCATATACGGACTGTTTTAGGCAATTTGTACCAAATAAATTGTCGGTGGGAGGTAATTGTTCAATTGATTAGCGACTTACCCAACTTACTAATTGATTTACAGATACAATTATGTTTCCCTTTCTTATTTTCTAAGCAATTTAATACAGCCAGTTATATTTATGGTTAGAGTTATTTTGCCTGCTAGTGCCTAATTATTTTATAATATCAGTTTTCCAACTATAATGCAAGTATAAAAACTTTCATAGACAGCACACACTGAAATAAATTTATTTAGCATAGTACAAGTTGTAGCCAATTACGTTCCTAAGTTTGTGGCGCAGACTAATTAAGATTCAGAGAGGTCTCGGCGTAACGCGCTTGTAAACTGTTACAGTGACGTTGATCTGGATTTACTGGAATACCGCCACAGCGACTGCCGGTAAATTGCTCTCTGCATGAATTGGTTACCAATTTACAAAGATAATTTTTATAATAATAACTGTTACCTGCGTGTGACTTCATTGACAATGGTTCTGTTCGCGTGGAATTTAATGTGCTTAATTTCCCTTCTATTCAAACGTGGTAAACCATTAGTAAGACTAGTAATTTTTCATACAACAGTGGTAGAGCCCGCAATAACCACGACCAAGCGTCAAATGAATGTAATTCCATGTTTTGTCTGAAATGTGCGTGTTAGAGATAGTTCTGTTCCTTTCCCACCCTATTTATACTAGGAATCTGTAAGAAGGAAAAGTGGATATAGCCGGAGACGGGACTCATAGGTAGGGAAAGATTATCTTTCTGTGAATTGCCTCCGCCTTTAGGAGATAGGTATTGCATCTGCTAATGTGGATGTTTATGGACAGCGGCCCCTTTAGTATTTCAACGAATTCTGGTGGCTGCTTGCTAGGAAGATTAACTTTAGGTTAGTTTACAAAATTTACTTGTTTCATAGATAAATTAAAAAAACTAATACAGCCTTTAGCTAGATTGTTAATTGGTACAAATTTGGTGTTTTCATAAAAACGGATAAGGCTTACTTATTCGTTTGATGGTTTTATCCGTTAAAAAGACTGGTTCGAAGTAATCAAATTATGTAAAACATTACTCGCCCCTGTACGTTTTTCTTGAGATAAACTTAATATGAATATTCCTAATTAAATTGGTATTAATTATATCAGTGTTCCGCCGCTATTAACCGCTAAAGCTTTTAATAAAAATAACTTGGACAATAATTTTTACTGATAAAATCCGATCAGAATTATAATTCTATTAGCGATATCTTTATAATATCCTTCGGCCTAAATAACGAAGTACATAGATATCGAAAAGTAATATTTTTTCCTTTATCTCTTATAGTATTTAAATTTTTATCCTTTGATTTAATTTGTGATGTTTTTTTTTTTGCTTAAGATACTATGATTTTTTGGCCATACATTTGCTGCTCTTATGTTTTTATTACTAATATTATAAATGTGAAACTTTATATATGGATATTTGTTAGAGTTTGTAGCCTAAACTGTAGAACGGATTTCCATGAATTTTGGTACAGATGTAGAGGATAGTCTGGACGGATAGTCACTTTTGTTTTTTCTTAATTCCACGGAGACGGAGTCGCGGGCGAAAGCTAGTAGGTAAATAGGAATTAGTAAAACAATTACGTTAGTTAAAAGTTTTGAAACCATATTAATTAGGTGAAGCCATATCATCATATTGTTAAAATACTAGCTTTATTAAAAGAAAACTATCCAGGAGCCTTTGTGTTCTTCTAGACTAACTTCTATATCTATATTAAATGTAAGCCGTTTTACAGATACGTAGCAAATATACATACATTTATCCTTGCATTAATGATTTCTATAACATAGAAAATACTCTGTGATCTAAACTTCGTCCCATGTTAAGTGAAACAGAAATATCAAAATAGAGAATGTTGAAAACATCCGTAAGTTGCAATCGCATCGTATTCGGCCCCTCTTAACGCCCGACTGGGCGGGCGTTTTTTTATCAATAAAGGTAAACGTCTAGGAATCTGCAGGGAGCAGTCGGGCGTGAGAGACGTGGCGGTATATCATAACATTGGGGTCCGGAAATGTTGCTTACATTTTATTAGCAATAAATATTGTAGTTATCAGCAATTTTTGTAGCTGATCAAATCACTTATATTTTAATAACGATGTAATTACGTGAACTATTTTAGGTTATGATATATTTTCAACACTACGAGATAAATTTTTTTTTTAATTTCTTACAATAAAATTTTTTTGTAGAGACCAGTATTCCTACAATTGTCAACCTTATTTTTGCAAGCAATCTAAATGCAAAGAAATAAAGAAGAAAAATACTAAGAAATTATATAACAAAAGGACAAAAATAATGTTTCCGCCCGGGATCGAACCGGGGGCCTTCTGCGTGTTAGGCAGATGTGATAACCGCTACACCACGGAAACTTGAAATCTGCACACGGATTTAATTCTATAATTTTTTTTAAAGACATTTAATTACACACTATTGGTCGAAATTACTTTATGAAAAACACTGGTACAACTCACTCTAAAACGTACTGCTTGTATTTTTTATGTACTATGTACTTTGTAGTGTACGGAGGTGATTTATGTGGTTTTCGCGTGTTTGATAGCCTTTTTCGTCATAAAGACATCTGTCATAGAGGATTAGTTAATAAATAGTGAGGGTCAGTGGGTTAATTACTTCATTATAAGGTCATTTTTATTAACAAAACGAAAATATTTGAATTATTAAACTTTGAATTCGATCATATCAATTGCTTAGTAAAAGTGTCATAATTTGTAATGTAGTCGACCTTGTTCACCAACAGTCTAAAAACTAGTGTATGGACTGGTTAGTAAAAT